TCTATTTTCAGCAAGTATGCATATTTCTTTTCTAACTGTAAGGAGCTAATAAAGGATTTATTATCTTTTTTCTCCCTGTTGCTTCAAATTTCTTCTGAAAAAATCTGAGAACCAACACAGGGCTCGAAATACTTTTTTTCAGGTACGTGCAAAATTGCACATTGGCAAAATTTTTAGGTGCAATTTGAAAAATATATGTGCAAAATTATATTTAGCCTTGCATCTTTAGGTTTGGAACTGTTTTACTGTGTATCAACCTTCTTAGCCTGCCACTGCATATAGAAGTTTTAGTATACATTAAAAAGAAGGGACCAAACAAAACATGAACAATGCAAGTATCATCTGTGTTTATAAAAAAAAAGAACACAAAAAAAATTTGTCGGCATTAGCTTCAAAGGACGCCGCTAGTGACCCCCGGCCCTCTCACTCGTCATAAAAAAAATTTACCAACAGTATGCGAGCACATTTATTTTGCATATTTGTTTACCTTGAATATCGTGCACGATATAAGGAAAAAAATACTGCTTAGAAAAAAATAACGTCCGGTTAATTTTTGCTTCTTGGCGCTCCCCTCCCCCTCCTCTGGGGGCGCGTCGTCAACATCGGCCGCGGGATCCTCGGAGACGGTGGACCCGGTGGCATCTTCTGGTCCACCGCCACCGGCTGCACCAGCCTCTGATGCCGGCTGGGCCCGTGAAAAGAACTTGAAAATCGACCCCTTCTTCATGGGCCCTTCTTCATGCTTTACAAATTTCCTGGGTAGCACTGAATGCTGGGAAATCCGAAAACTCTGTTTTTCACCGAATTTTACCGAAAATTGGACGAAAAAGCCGAAATTACTCTGCCGAAGGACTTCGTACCACATCGGGCAACAAGTTTCGCGGGTCTCACCATATTTGGTAAATGAGCTACGTAGGCCTTCGCGTCTTGCCATATTAGGTAAATCATTACGTAATGCCTTCGCGTCTTCACCTGGGGACGAGGCAGCTTGTTCCCAGGATGTTCAGTAAAGAAAACAATATGGCTGCCATGCGCCCAGCGCGATGCCGACACAGCAAGAAACTTCGGAGATACGCAGTGCAAACATGATATATCGGTATTGTCCAGGTGCAAAATTGCACATTCAAAATATTTTTAGGTGCAAATCTTGAAAATTACGTGCAATTTGCACATTGCACCTTTGTATTTCGAACTCTGCTTGCCATTGGCGCGGAACATTGCAAGATGTTTATCTAAACAGTGGATATGTGTGTGTTCAGAAGCAGGTGTCCCGGAGTGCTGACCTGGCCCTGTTGAAGCAGCAGGAGAGAAACAGGAAGGAGGGACAACAGCTGCTCACCGCGAAACTCAACCTGAGGAAATCACCCTCACCTGACAGGCTCAAGACTAAAGCTCTCAGCCCCAAGCACAAAAGGTATGTATATATATAAATTTCATTGTGTATCTTATTAATTGTATTTGTATGTATACCTAACAATTTTATTCTCTCCCATAAAAATGATCCAAAAAAAAATAGGCTGTGACTACTTTATTAGTAACCCTGGCTGTTGTAAGCCAAACTAATAAACAAATAAAGGTATGGCTTTGAGATTACTTATCAATGGGAAATGATGAAGTGTTTATGAAGTGCTAATCACACTGTTTTAGAAGATCTGATGAAATAGACAAAAGATGACAATGTAGTTGGGTACAGAAAAAAAATAGTTGCCAGATTTTAACTGACTTTGTGAAATTTCCTTGAGTTAGAAAATCTATCACAGAATAGATTTCACAATATAAGATGCTCCTACAGTAATACAAACTTATAAACTCACAGTGTTTTGATGTTTGTCTACTTGACTAGGCTGTTGTTCATGTAATGGTTAATTCAGCACCAAGGACAGGAACCATGTAGCCATGTAGCTGTTTACATGTATAGGATATGGTGGGTTTCTTGAAACTCAAATTGTGTGACCTGTCTGTCCCCCTCCAGGCGGAAGTCAGCGCGGAGCGACATTTCCTCCATCAGCGGGAGCAGCTGGGCGGGGTCGGAGGACAGCTCGCCAGATGAGGGACCTCAGAACATCCGCAACATCGTGGCCAGGAAGTTCAGCCTGCCGGTACGCTCACTGTTTCTAGATTTTTTTTATTTGCCAGAAGCCTGATTTAAAGGTTATATACTGCTGTTATTACTGAAGACAGGGAATGACTAAAAAGGATTTACTCATAGGAAATTCAACTCTACTACTGCATAAATTACAGGGATAATTTCTGGATATTTCAAGTGACATCCACCACTCTTCTTCAGTGTCATGAAGTACAAAGAAGAGTGATGGATGTCACTCGAAACATCTGGAAGTTATATCTATCCATAATTTATCCAGTAGTAGAGTTTGAATTTCCTATGAGTATTGTTTACCTGGATGTCTAACCTTCATCAATGTAAATTAACTTGATGTTGTGATTTAAGATTGAACAGTACACACCTTTTGCGCTCTTTCATGACTAATATTGTTTTCATGTCTTCTCCAGAGCTCCAATGACAGCGTGTTCCTGGGCAGCTCCAGGATGGAACAGATGCTCCAGGCCTTGTACCACGACAGGAATGCTGGGTACTTCTTCACACAGTTCTGTGAGAGGTCAGGGAATAAGGTGAGGAAGCATGCTGGGAAATAGCCATTTTGTCTATGAGAATTGAGGGTCTATGAAAAAAGCACAATAACCTTTAGTTCACTTTCTTATTAATGATTTTAAAATGTCTTATACAATGTAGTATGAGTTCTCATAAAACAGCAATATCAGTTTTACATCTGTGAAGATTAGACATCCAGATATGCCAAAATGCAGTTACTCAAGGAACTGGATTTGATTTTGCTTGAGTAACTGCTTTTTGGAATATCATTTTTACCTTTTTATTAGAAATTTCTTTATGTCACACAAGGAAGGCTTTCCAAACTTCTCAGTGATAAATGATGATGACTTTTTTTAAAAGAGACACTGTCCCATTGTTCCCCCAGCTCTGGTCCAACTCCATCCACTGCTGGACAGACCTGCAGACGTACCACACCCTGTTCTACGCTGACGTGCTCGACCCTTTTGTAGTGAAGAAAAAAGCTCAGGTAAGAAACGTTTAACCTCGTGGATGAAGTTTCCAAAAGGAAATCTACTTTCTTAAAATTATTATTCCAACATGTAATCACAAGACATGGTGATGGCACACTCAAGTTTTTGCAACTTACTTTTATGCTGCCACCAATATAGAGGACAATACAATACAATACTCATTTTCCTTGATGTAAAATTGAAGAAATTCGTGTTAAGAATTGGTGGCCTGGCAGGATTGGTGGCCTGGCAGGGTCCGAATTTAACTTGTATGAAGGGATATGACGCCCTTTTCTAACACAGTTTTCCCTTTTCCAGTACATCCACTCTAGGTTTGTGGTAGCTGCCTCCCCAGAGGACATTGGGTGCAGCCAGGACATCAGGAACGAGGTGTACAAGAACATCGACCCTCCCTTCGAGGAACTATTTGACTCAGCGGAGGAATACATCCTGCATGTGCTGGTGGTGCCATGGCAACAGATGATTGAGGGGGACAAGCACACTTACTCTAAGGTAGGAATTAAGGGAGGAAAACTGATAAAATTTATCAGGCTCAATTTATAGTACAAGTAAGGTTTATACTGGTACGCACAACTTAAGTTCAGTAAAGCCTAAAAGCTTTCAGACGGCATCCACCATCTTTCTTCAGCTACTGACAAGGGCAGTCAGGTGACCCAGCAACTGTCATGTCATTATATCTAGTTGTCAGAAAAAGTATTTAACATATTTTTGTGCATGTAAATGTTTGCTAAACAGGCTTTCATCTCTTGATCTGTCATATATCATTGGGTACAGGATTTCATACATAGGGAAAGATCTCGTTCCTTCGTGTATTAACAAACTTGCCATAATGTTGTTTTCCACCAGGTGGAGCTTTTTGAACAGAAGCGCCATCTCGAGACCAAGTCACGCCAGCTGCTTCGTCTACAGAAGAAGGGTCTCCTTAGAGAGGTACTTTTCTACTTCCTCTTTGTGTGTTAGAAAAAGGTTGTGTAATGCTGTTCAGGTTTTTGTAAGTTTGCTTTAATGTATGTAATTCTTCCATTCTTCAGCCTTCATCTTGATACATATTAGGATATCCATCCATTAGTTGCAAAAGCGACAACGAAAGCAACTAGTCTTCCTGGATTCCAAAACACAAAACAACAACATTACACATACTACACAATCATATAAAAATTACAACATTATACTGCTTTGTATAGCTAAAATATAATTTGCTCTTAATTGAGTTACATCTCAGCATTTCGTGACTCTAGATAACCCTGTCTGTTCCCCCCCCTTCAGCTGACCATCACCCCTGAAGCAGAGGAGCTGGAGGAGTCTCCGTACGACGACACCATCTGGGCCAAGCTGCCCGACCAGTTCAAGAAGTGGACCTTCGAGGGGCTGGTGCACAACCGGCTGGAACTGGAGCACTTCCGCAAGTTCCTGGCCGACAACTTCGCCTCCATCGACCTGCAGTGTTGGATGGATATTGAGGTAACTGTCGGTTGCAACTTGTTAGTTATTCTAATGTCGACTGTACTCTTATGTTTCAACGTCATTAGAAATGGTCCACTCTAGATTGAAAACATCATCATGTCTTGAGTAAAGAGACAGTTTTACACAACCAAGTCTTTTATTCAGCCGATGTTTCGGTGACCGTCTGTCTGCTTCCTCGCGGCAATTCTGACTGGTTCACATTGCACTGCAGCACGGGTGTCACTGCTATAGATGCATTATTCTCATCAGAATATCCTAATTGTACACTAATAGAGAAGCAAACAGAAAGATAACTGTTACAACATTCATTGATCTGATATTTGCACAATTGTCTTCCTGTAGGCATTTCGTCGGCTGTCTCATCTGGACAATGCCAAGAGAGATGACAAGGCCAAGGACATCAAGAGCAAATATCTGAACAAGAAATACTTCTTTGGGCCCAACAGTCCTGCAACAAAAGAGCAGCAGAACAAGGTAATGTGGACCAGTTCATAGGGAAGGAAACATTTCAATACTCTAGGGAGAAATGTGTGGTCAGGCTGTGTAAGGCAAGCACAGGCCCAGGCAGATATTGAAGATGAGAGTACGGTAGTTATTCTATCCCCATTGGTCATGCCTGTCTGTAAAATTTAAGTTATTTTCTAATCAACACAAGTCAACCATATAAGCATCAAAGTGAGCAACAGTCTATTGTGTGGAACAATAGTACAAACTTTATTATAGATCATCCATGACAGAAACTAATGAGAGAGAGAAAGAGAGAGAGAGAGAGAGAGAGAGAGAGAGAGAGAGAGAGTGGAAGCCTTGGGAAAGGCACTTTTCATGACTTTCCTCACTTAACTCAAGTGAAAATGAGTACTGGTATTGTCTGTCCTGTATTTGATTCTATGTGCAGGACACAACACCAGCAACCATGCCTTTGTCCCATGTGTGTTGTATTGTTACAATTTTAATAAATCAAATCAAATCAAATCAAATGTACATGGTTATTCCCCACAGGTGATGGAGGCAGGCGGAGGCTGGGGTAAGATCCTGCAGGACCGTCCTCCCACCACCCTCCTGCTGGAGGCACAGAAGTACGTGAAGGAGCGGCTGGAGAAGAAGTGGCTGCCCATGTTCCTGTCGACGACGGAGTTCCAGGAGAGACAGAGACCAAAGATCAACATGGACGACGTGGCTGAGGACGTCATGGTGCACAAACAGAGGAAACGACAACAAGTCTGGAAGGTCAGTGTGAACTTTATGATTTTCATAAAGAAGCAAAAGGCTTATATGAGCAATCACTGTTTTTGTTTACATCATCCATATGAAATTTATTTCAAGACATATACAAATTATTGTTAGGCAAATCAGTCACCCACTTTTTGCCTACCGTGACATCATGGCGATTGCTTGTATTGTCTACTTGTGTAACTAAAACACATAGGTTGCATTTCTATATAGGAATGTTGTCTCATGCTCTTGTTCATGTTATGTTTTATTTTAACATTTACAGATTTTTGTCACTATCTAACATGTCAAGATGAGTTGATAATCATGATTTTTAATTGATTTTTAACTTAATTGAAAATTTAATCCCTGTGTAATACTTCATGTGTTGGAATAAAGTTAAACATTTTACTAAAATTCTAATCCTGCCCGTCCATTACAGATGCTGGACAGTAAGCTGATGTCGTCGACCCGTGACATCATCGCGTTCCGCCGGGCGCTGATGAACCCCGTCACCAGCCAGCAGTTCCGCAAGTTTGTGTCTGTGAAGGGAGAGAACCTGGAGAACGACGTGCTGTTCTGGCTGGAGATACAGAAGTACAAGGTCGGGGGACAATGTTACTACTGTTATGTATGTTCTGTCTTCCTGTAGTTACAATGTAGACTGAATGAACCAAAAGCTACATTGTATGTGTCGTGTCAAAGTTGTTATTAGTTTTCTATGTGTTCATATTGATGAAGAAAGTCCCAAGAAGAGAGAGCACCAATATTGATCAAATATGTAGTTGAGAACATTCATGTAAGGCAAGTAAACCTGTAGTGCTACTTTGATCCTTCAAGTTTGTATTGTTGTTTTTTTATGCATTTTATGCACAAAATGTATGAACTGTTCTATCCTAAGCCATATTTCAAAGTTGTTAAAACCTGCCATGTTTGCTGCATGCCTGCAGGACATGGTCCATGCCCACGTGGAGGACTCCTTCATCCAGCAGAAGATCGCCGCCATCATCCACTGCTTCATCGACTCGTCCCTCCCCCCGTCTGTCCAGATAGACATCCCCCCCGACCAGGCTGACAGGATCCTGGAGCACCGCAGGGAGCTGGGGCCTTACATCTTCAGGGAGGCACAGGTGGGTAATGGGGGATAGATGTAGGGGGTATGTGTGTTGTGTATGTCCACATAGACATGGAGCAACAACTGGAGCAATGCAGGGAGCTGGGACCTTACATCTTCAGGGAGGCACAGGTGGATAATGGGGGGAGGTGGATTGAGGTGTTCAAAACTTGTATTTTCCAAGAACTATCGTAGAGTGGAACTCGTTGACACCATGAACAGTTGGGACATCATCACTAGAAAGCTTTAAACAACTCCTGCAATTAAATGTGCAAAGATTGAGTGTAACAAGTTGTTCGGTGTGATATAGCTAGCTGCTGCCACGCTGTGTGCCTTCGAACCTGGTGTGTTACACCGAAGGGCGATTATACCAGCTATACCAATTCAGATACAGATGTAGGGGGTATGTGTGTTGGTGCTAGAAATACTACTACAGTTGTATAACACTTGTCTTACAGAGACGTTGTTGGGGGGAGATGGGGTTGATAAAATGATGCTTGGATGCATCTTGTGTATTTTTTCTCTTGAACATTGCCTTTATGTACGCATATTGGGCTTTCAGCCTCCCTTACACTGTCATATTTCATTAGAGAGAAGGGATCTTGTAGATATAGATGTAGCACAGTAATGTAGCACTTGTTCCTCCTACCCTTATACCTTAGTTATCTAACAGTTATTACATTTGGCCCATGTAGGGCGTGAATATGCGATTAAGTTCATTGTCATTGTTTATGTATTAAACGAACATTCCCCTCCACAGTTGACAGTGTTCCGGCTGCTGCTGCACCAGTGGGGGGCCTTCTGTGAGTTCCGACAGAACATGGCGGAGGAGAAGATCCTCACCACGCTGGAGAGACAGAGGAAGAGAGCGAGGGAACGAGAGAGGGCCAGGCAGAAGGCATACGAAGAGGAACAGGCAAAGGTCTGTCTCTTGAATGATAACACATTCCTTAGAAGATACTTGATTCTAGCATGATTCATCCAAAACATGTAAACATCTACATGTACATGTACACTGACTCACAGGTATGGGTATACAGATATGTCCCAACAACAAGACTGAATAGGGTTTTTGGAAAGCCTCAGGGCTGCGAAAGGCAAAAAATCCACCATATCCTTGAAAATATTCTTAACCAGCAAACTACACATCTATGTATTATTAGATAGCAAACAGCAAACTGACAACACCACAAGATATGGTAATAAACAGCTACATGACTACATGATTCCTGTCCTTGGTGCTGAATTAACTATTATATGAACAACAGCCTAGTTTTGTAGACAAAACATCAAAACACTGTGTGTTTATAGGGTTGCATTACTGTACAAGTGCCTTCTATGCATATATTCTGTGACAGATTTTTTAACTCAAGGAAATTTCAGAAAGCCAGTTGAATTTCATTGAAAATTGTACTGAAACTGACGGATTATTCTGTGCACAGAGAGAAGCGCTGAAGGCTGGTGAAGGAGAAGATGAGGATGCTGGGAGTGACTTTGGCAGTCAGATGGACGAGGAGACGTCACAGGCTTCTCTGGAGAAGGTTTGTTTGTTTGTTTGTTTGTTTGTTTCGCATAACTGGTAAACTGCCTTTTTAGGTGTAACACATCAGTTTTGTACATGTAAATACAAGCTGCGTAAGACCGGACTGAAAGTTGGAACCACTCACACCAGGAAGATCTCCTACTTATTCGATAAATGTGGTGGGTTCTTTCTGGAGGGAGTGGAGGGGTGAGACAGTATTTTCATTCATTCATTCATTTCATTTATTTATCCAGGTGATACATATCGCCTTGTTGGCGTTTTTCAATGATACCTGGGGGGTAAACCCCAACATAGTAAAATACAAACAAAGTAACTGAGGATAAAATACAATAATAAATAAGAAGAAAATAATCACTATATACAAGTGTGCAATTAATCATAAGGTAACATAAAGATTTTGTGATACTCTATGAAATTAAAAAAAAAAATGATATAGAAAATCACTCTCATGACTGTAGGAATGGATGATCATATACAATGTACATTTATTCCAAGATGCACTGTGTATGTAAAATATACAGTTCTTTATTTCTTAGACTGATGCATGACACATTGTTTCATTCACAGGTGACCTGGTCCTACGGGAACTATATGGCAGCTCTGGAGCGAGAAGAACAGATGAACAAACTGCCTGACATGGACAACATCTCCCTCAGCACACTGAGCGACCTCTCAGGTAAGTCCATGACGTTCAGCACCTTATCATACATTAGCTACGTCTGTTCCTTACTTACTTACATACTTTGGCCCCTTGCTCCTGTCAGAGCATAAGCCACTGACTCTGGGCTGTCTTTCTCAGTTTCTCCCAGCTGCTTGCTGCTTGCTACTCTCCTCATCTCCTCATCCTAAGTATCTCTTCTCCAACTGTTTCTGTGCCATAGAGCTCTCTTTCTTCTTCCCTGTGGATTCCATGTAAGGTCTGGTGTGTGATGCTGGATGGTGGTTTCCTCAGAGCTTCTGTTCCTGCCTACCTCCTATTAAGAAGGAGGGAGAATGGAAAGCAATCTGTAAATGTTTTGCAAACAAATAACATTACCTGTGCAATGAAATCTTGACATGCCTGTATGCCTCCCTCCCCAGGTCTGACCTCCAACACCAGTATGAAGACCTCGCGAGCGGAGAGTGTGAGTTCCGAGGTTACCAAGGAGACGTTAGAGACGGGGAAATCCACGCTACTGGACGTCCCGAAGAAGGCGAGGCCGCGGAAACCGTCCATCGTCAGCATCAAGGACGGGGGCAAGGTGGTACAGGCCAGGACGGGGAAGGAGCTGGTGCCTGCCCCTCCGAGGGACCTGCCACCCCCTCCGCAGACAGTGGGAGAGGCCGACGGAACCAACAGACCCAGGGGGAAGAAGGTGGTGAACGGGACCGGCCCACATGGGGATGGGAGGGAAGCAAAGAGTGGGAAAAACAAACTACCTGCACTGCAGAAAGTCAGATGAAATTTTGTTATGCCTGAGATTCTACAGATTTTTTTTGTGAGAGATTATTTTATGCTACATGTATGTGAACAAAATTAACAAGATATGCAATATCTTTTCACATGTAGTACACAAAGCCACAGGTTTAGAGAATAAGTTGTAAATTTCTCCTCCTCGTTGATTGTATGTTTGACCAGCAAGTCTGAAATTAATGCAGTAGTGCCAAAGTCATAATCTTTCAATGTACCTGAGGTGCTTTTAGGAGAAAGTTGTAAATAGATGCTTGCATGAATGCTTGCTTATTGAAGTAATTAGCTCTTTTGCAAATGAGAAAATGAAGTCTATTTTTGCAACACTAGTGGTTCAACATTGAAAGACCACTTTTGTGTTGTGACAATCTCGTCCGTCCAAAATAAAGTACTTGTGCCACATGTAAGCTTTTGACAGGAAAACTGAAATAAGTGCTGTGAATGAACACCTCAAAGTAAATTTGTGATTGATGAACTACAGATGATATAATGCAGTATGTATTTTGTAATTATGTTGTATTGAAAGAAATTGATATTATATGACTGGATTGTCAGATTTTTTAAATGTTGCATGAATATATATTTATCAACTAAAACATTCCAAATACCTGTACTCATGAGATTATTGTTAGCCTACAGACCTGTAGGGATCTGTTGATATAAATGCAATTTGTGTGGATGTACAGATAAATGCTGTCTAGCTTGAAGTCTGTTTAAAAGTTTGAAAGACAGAAATTTATAGGCTACAGAACATGTGTGAGATTAGATTTAGTTTTATACTTGAGTGTTGTTTGTGCTAGTGTCTGTTTTTGTTCTGTGAAGTAAAAGAGTATTTACAACCACCACCGTGTGACAATGCCTCCAAGACATATTTATTGTTATATTCTATTTGATAATCGTTTGTATGAACAGTCGTTTTCGTCATATTTGTTGTTGTGAATGGTCCAAAAGTTTTTCCAACTTTCAATGGTCAGGAAAAGCGTCCTGTGATGAGACTTGCACTTCATCCTAATACAGTTAGGGGCGCTTTTGACATAGCAAAAGCATTAACTTCACTGACGAGAATAATCCATTAGCTAATCGATTAATACAGTCAATGAAAAGTTGCAACACACAACACATTATGACATATAAACAGATAAATTTGTGATTCAGAGCTTAATTTCAGATAACTACTCTTGTCATTATACAAACTATTGCCGTTGTAAGATTTGTATATTTTTGGCACCTAAAACTATAATGTATAGTTCTTTTTTCACCGGTTCCTTCCAGTATGTCAAGCGGTTCAATAACGGTACATTTATTTTATTATCAGACATCCCTGTAACGCGACTGTCCTCACTTCTTTGTAGAAATAGTCTTCCACTTCTCTCCAAGCAGAGGTCTGGGTTTTGGCTTATTTTGGGCGTGTTTTTAGGCTTTTTAGTCGGGGTTTCTTTTTTGCACTTGAATTTTTTTACGCATTTTTTACGCAAATAAAACTTCCAATGCAAAAAATAAACCCAGTTAAAAAGCCTAAAAACACGCCCAAAATAAGCCCAAACCCAAACCTTTGCTTGGAGAGTACTTTTCCACATCCAGTTCTGTGTCGGGCGCTGTCCGTAGCCGCCGCCCCGTCCCCAGCACAGGTGGGCCGCCTTTGATGTCCCGCGGCGCCGCTGGCGGCGGTAAGGTAGACTGGCAATCAAAACTGTGCCGATGACAGGTCATGTGATTCTTCTTATCATCTTTTGACGTCTTGTCTCTCAACACTCAAGTCGTAAGAAGTACAGTAAAAAAAGAACTACCTTATATGCCAAAAGAGTTACTGTGGTGTAGTATTAGATAATACATTGTACAGTAATTTTTAGAAAAGAAGAGAAAAACTGTTTACCATTACGATTTTAAGTGCCATCATCGTAAAACCTGAAGTTGTAAAACACATTGTGTTAGGTCGCAAGAAAAGCCGAAAAGATGAAATATCTCCTGATTTTACCTTTTCCATCATTCAATGTTGGTGTTTATCATTTAGACGCTAGCGCTAAGATACTAGCCCGCCAAGGTTCATGGAAAGAGAAACACTTCACTTGCGAACTCACGGTACGGAAGAGATGGAACCATCTTTCCGTGGCGAAGTAAAGGCGGACCGCCTGCACTGTGGTCCGCACAATACGGGAGGCAGTTCCCTCGGCAAACTGCGCTATCAAAAGAACAACATTCTGCGTTTTGAAAGGGCCAGACGTGCACGCAGTGATCCTTGTCGGAAACGCTATGCGGCTTTGAACAAACTTCGGTTATCCGAAGGAAAACAATAGAACAAGATTTGGGTGTTTACTCAAAGCGAGAGGTCTATTTTCTCACGCACGTACTGACGTAATCTTTTTGATAGAGAAGCCTTTTTTTTCAGCGAAGGTTTTAAGCGCACGTACGCGCCAAGCCTTAGGGTTTTTTCCAGAAGGCAAAAGCTCGCTCACACGTCTCGAATTCTATAGTGAATATATTTTGTATTTGGCAATATGGAATTGAACAGCACGGTATCTGCAATTTGACCAGTTCGTACAAATTTATAATACCACCAAGTTATAGAGTCTAGATGATGGATTCAATTTTTGGATGATATGCCTACATAATCAGAGATGAAAAATGTGTTATAGCATTTCTTTTCTTCGTACAACGGCGCAGACTTCATGAAAAAATGCCAGGTATTATTGTTTAATCTCTTTTTTATGATATGCTGTGCTTTGAAGTCCGTTAATTAACTCCTTGAAACGAGCCGACGAAAAGTACCGTGCAAACATCAGAAATTTCATGAAATGCTTCTTTCAACACGTTACGTAAGCCACCGGGCAAATATTTTCTTACCGCCGCGCAACAAATCCTCTGTCCTTCCTACAAGTGTTTTACCGGAGAGAGATAACATTGACGGGGCTTTATATAGATCAACAAGTGCGCCATTCTGTTGATTTTTTTTCCCTATGGATGATTTTCCTTGTCTTTCTTTGTTTGTTTGTGGACGATGATCAGAAAAATAATTAAAAGCCGCAATTACTTAGCCTGGGTACCATCCGATTTGTGACGGCCCTCCTTGCATTCGCTGGCCCGATCATTTGTACACTAGTATTTGCGTTAGCAGTATGCAAAGGGATCGGCTCTAATTTATGACTTATAATTTAGTGGGTATCTAGTACACTTGGTTTTTCGTAGTCGTCATGTCTATTATCTGGTCCTACCCTCCACGTTTACTGGGTTAGCTATAGTATCTTGTCCTGTGTCTGAAGATTTCTGTTTTGCTAGCTGTACGGGAAGACTTGTCTAGACGCCTCTTCCTCGTTTTTCTTGCCAAACAAATTGTCCATCTTCAACTATTCATGCTATCTTCTACACAACTTCTGAGAACTACGTATACACCACTCGACTTTGTTTTTGTAGCAGCCAAGTCAGCGATCACTGTATGTTCAAGGTGTTTACCAGCTGACGTCATCACGTTGAGGCCCCCGTCCCTCGTGTGTTGTGGGAAAGTTGCAGCATCAGTCACCACCTGGGGAACTGTTTGTCTAGAATGTTTTGGGTACATTAGAGCGGCGGGAAATAGCAACAAAAATCTATGTCCCTTCCTGTTTGGAACATTTCCCAACATTTTCAGGCATTTCCTCAAGACGCAACACGTACGTAGATGTCAAGGATGAAAAGGTGACGGCGATGGGGTAATATTATCTAGCCTCACGTCGTGTACTAGCACTCAGAGAAATACATATTTGTGCTTTTGGGTTCTTGTTAATCCAAAGGGGAACCGACTGTGTGTTACTATGAAACGCATTTCAGCAAGAAAAGTGCTAAGCCTTAGGAACTTGATGAGGTTCATGGTACAACAAATTTCTGTCAGAATGGCAGCACTGATGTTGTACTGAATCCAATTGCTTGTATGCCAAGTTTATATCTACGTAGGACGGTCTCCACAGATGAGGTGGTTTCCTTCAGAAAGTTTGACATTCGCTGGAAGCATGGAAGGTCGCCAAAAACAACTTGTGCGCCTGTCGACAGGAATGTCACAAATGTGCGCTTCCGTGGGAACAGGACAGGCGCAGAGTTGACTCAAAGACGGCACGCACAGGTCGCCGTGCGGCGACACTGTTACAGGTGGGATGGGGAGAAAAAACACGGCGCCGGCCGAGCAGACTGCCAGGCAATTAAACAAGCAAATACTTCGGTCAAAGAGGACGGAAGAAATTGACATTGAAAGACAGGAATGAGGAGACAGGGTCAGAGAGGTGCGCGCCACAGGGGGAGGAAGGCGCGTAGATTCCGCGCCAGTGATGCCAGCAACCGTCTGCCAGACTATTTCTAGATCTCATACAGTTTTCTATCGTTTTCCAGTACCCTTCGCATAGTCACCTCAAGCTCCCTACCGCCGAATTCTTTTGCTCATTTCCTTCATCTTTGTCATCCATTTCTCTTCCTCCAACCATCATCTTCCTTTCCTTTTCCTTCTCTTTTCTCATTCACTCCTTTATTTATTCGTTTCTTTCTTCCTCGATCAATCTCTCACTGTTTTTATACAGATCTTTCTTGATAAGTGACTACTACAGTTACAACTGACACACGCACAAAGGCCGCACGTGCACACATGGCCACTGCAGGGAACAAAACAAAGATTCGCGGGCCGTTGCCATGCCAACGCCCAGGCCCACACTGCCCCCAGGAATGCAGGAGTCCGTGAGAACAGGAGTGGGCAGGGAGGACGCCGAAGTGATTTCGATTTACTTAAGATGCAGGGAGATTGCGTGCGACTTTGATCGGAGGCTGGTTAGTGACGGTAGTGACGGGGAGAGGTCCGGGCGTGTGGCGCGGCGCGTGACGCCGATCAGGCCGGAACGTGACTTCGTGAGGTTTCCGGGATGGACCCTCCTACAACAGACGCCGCGGCACATGCGGGCGCTGACGGAAAGAGCCGACTTTTCTTCTTAAGGTTGCCCAAACTCTCTTAGCCTTCAAGGACATCGCCGTTTGCCACGTGCAGTCTGCTGTCGTCAAGGCTTCTGATGAAGTGTTGTTCAATCAGCCTCCCTGAGACATCGTCGGAGATTCACTGATACTAGCCGACAGGTCTATTCATAAACTATACAAAGGCGTGATGATGTACATGTGTGGGGCGGTGTCACAGAAGATTTCAGAAAAATGTTGCGATCTAACCTCCAAACATCTGCTTTGAGATTGAAAGTACGTTTCACATCGAGCAGTAGATGAGCTGGTTAAATTGGTTTATTTTATAACCACGCGTTAGTTGAACGTTGTCGCGACTAGTTATTGATATTTGATTATGTTAATTATTATGTAAAGAAAGACAGATACGGTACCCAAATGCATAAACTTTCAGATTGGAAAACTAAGATTTGAATTGTTATATTTTTGTGTACATCTGAATGTATATTCATATCGTGTTGATGATGTTTTGTAATCTATTGTTTTGTTTTGGTTTTTCCTGCTAAGGAAGGTAAAGAAATAAACTCAGTCCAATCCATTTCCTTTTATACTCTGTGAGTCTGTCCTACAGAGATGTGCTAGTTAGGTGAGTGGACAGCCTACCGTCATACCTTTGTGAACAACAGGTAGTTAGTCATCTGCCCGCCTCCCCGCCGTGGTGAAAATAGCCCATCATTCAGCACCTCTGTCCAGCCGACATTACCTGAGAAGACACGCCTGTGCGGAGAGAAGACACGGGCGGCTGGGCTAATCCCGTCCGCCCTCTCCCGCTGAGGTGGGAGGGGGGCGGGGTGGAGACAGGTGGAGCGGCAGGAGGGACACATCAGTGGTTCTGTGTAAACAGCGCGGATGTCGTAGCCTCTACCAGGCTTCGGGAGGCGGCTGG